ACTATACGTTGTTCTTTTTTATAAGTGCAAAAACAACGAGTGTTGTAGACCGAGCTTGAGAAGAATTCGCAATCACCTTAACAATGTTCATCGATTTCAAATGCAACACAAGTTGATCCGCGGGTTTATCGAGGATTTCTGGACGAGAGAACTTCTCGAAGGTTTGGAAAACCGCCGAAGAATAGAGCCTGAAAGAATACATACTGAGCTTACATGTTTAGCTGTTGATTATTCTCGACTACATTTTGGGATTACTGGTGATCATCATAACATACGCGAATAGTTAGTACAGAGCTTGTGTTGATTCGTACGCGGTACATTCATAATATAAGCGATTATATCATTCATCAGATCAGTTTCCTCATTTCCGTTTTCGTTATAATCAAATACCTGTAAGCATGGCCAGCTGCTATGCGACCCGCTCTTCCAGCTCGTTGATCGGCAGACGCTTGACTTATTCGATCTACGACAAATTTCGACACGCCCGTGACTGAGTCATACAGCCTGAAATACTTGAGAATTTCAAAATCGGGTACAAGGTAAACTAGTGGTGTCTTTCAATAACACTGTGCCTTTTCCACCTATTTCAGCAATCTCTGTAAAAATCCTATGAAGCTACACCTTCTTTGACCGCAAACAGCTTCTAAATTGGAAAAGAGACGGGAAAACTACCAAGTTCCTGGTCTGTGTGCGAATGAGCAAAGCGTACATGCTTCTCCTATTTTAATTGCTTAGAGCAGAAATATAATATAATTGAGTATCGGTATTGACTCGAGACGAATTTACGGTTTGAGGTAAGCTTGTCTTTGGCCGGTAATCGTAAAGCCAAGGTAAGAAATAGTGTCAGCCGGACATTTAGAAGGGAAGTTCGGAAGAGGCACCAATCCACAGTGAATCGCACAAAAATTGAGAATTTGACATTTAATTAGAATTAAAGATAACAAAAAAACAGAAGTGAAAACAAAAGCGGATAAATTCTTACCTGCGCTTCTCAAACCCGCAATCCACCACGTATTTCACGCCAGGAATAGTTAAAGATGTTTCAGCTACATTCGTTGCAATCACACACATTCTACAAGAAGTAATGTAAAAACACCAATAGACGACTATTGGAACAAATAAACAAAACCTCGTGCCCTCTGGTGGTGGCTCAAACACACGACGCTGTTTTTCCGAGGACAATAAGGAGTACAACGGCAAGCAGTACAGAGGAACACAAGTAGCAGGTGGAGCCGGCATTGGAATGTTCTGAAACCACACCGAGAAGTGCTAATACCAAATAAACCAGCATCACTCAAAAAAGTAAGTACCCAGAATGGAGAACAGGAAAAATAAAACAGTACCAGAATTCGAAACATACCAGCGCATCTTCTTGACTGTCATCTTCTGCGTCATAGTCGTCCCATAAAGTATCACAAGCGCCAGTTTCATGCAGATCCTCGCCATCGAAGGAATGGGTTCGCTTAAAATGAACAGCTCAAAAGTGTATAAACCTCGTTTGCAGAAGAGGGTTGTATAAATAGAAAGTATACAAAAAAAGCAAAGAATAATTGATAAGACTCTCACATCTTCACCAAAATCCTCTAGTTTCAGATTTTGCGCCTCTTCTAGTTGCTTCTTTTTCCATTTCTTACTGCCTTTTACGTACACATGACCATCCTTGCTGGAGTCATATTGTATCTAAAATTCTATGAAATAGGGAACTGTGGAAATCACATTTCAAGGGCGCAATCAAAACTTGAAATACAGAAGACTGTTTCCGAAATATTCTCCAAGTGCTTTTTCACCAGAAGAAGAGGAAGAGTGATTAACTAATTTTTGAACATCTTCACTTCAGCAGTAATGAAAACTGTGCAACATACTGTATATCTTTCAACGAGCTTCTTCACTAAGTGTCGGACCTCCTGTTGCCACTGACGAAAACCAAGATTGCACCGTCAGGTAGAGCTTCATGTATCCGGCATACCTATAAACAATTATGTTTGCACCAAAAAATAAAATACGATGTCCGAGCAGGATGGACAAAATTAAAGCGCTTCGATACGAGTAGCTGAACTAACAGGCCCCTGATGTGCAATGCACATCATATAGGTGACCTTCGTAAGCTACCTCTACGGATCCCGCTCTGAACGTCGACCGCAAAAAAAAGAGACACACGAAGACATCAAAAGAGAGAGTATGGAAAGTACTAATTTAGCAAGAGGCACAGTAAACGACAAGAAAGTGTTTAGGGCAGATTAAACTAAAAATACAAAAAAAAGAAAGCCCTAAGAAGCGGAAAGAGTCAGTCAAAAGCAACCTATACAGGAATAAAAACTTAAAATTATTAAGGAGGTAGTTCCGCTGAATAAACAACTCAAAACTGCGCAAGCCGGTCACAGCTACCTCCTGTTTTATCATTACACATTTACAAACCGAAAGCAACCGCTGCCTTGAAAAAATACTGGGCAAGTGAAGAAGTGAAATGAGAAGTAGTTTTTGAACCAAACAACGCACATGAATATCAGAAAAAGAAAAAGCACCTTTCTGAAAGTAGCCATCATATAGTCGTCGGGAGTGCGCTTCTCAAAATGCACCGTGACTGGAAATTGTCGTGACTCCACATTTATCACTTTGGGTTCCAAGACGGGAAATAATCTTAATTCAAAGAAGGTATAAATAATCAAACAACCATGAGCATGCAAAATGAAAGCAAACCTTTTGTGAATAAAATCTGCTAATCGTAGTGTGGCCGACATAATTATCAACTTTAACGGATTCGACGTTTTTGCTCGCAGAGGCGCTATCCTACTCAACATCCCAATCAAGACATCACTGTACATTGACCTCTCATGAGCCTCATCAATAAGGATAGCGGAATACCTGGAACAAAAAAGCTTTGACAGCGCACTCTCTCCAGAACTTTGTGAAAGTGCAACTCATTACAAATTCATTTGATCGTCCCACCGGAGAACGACCACGACAAAGCGTACACCGTATGGAATATTTGAAAACCCTCTCATCTATTGATATGATAGGGTTGAAAAATTAGTATGATAGTTACAGGCTCACTTTTTCAGCATTACATCAGATTCCATCTCTTTCATCAGCACACCATCAGTCATGAATAGTATCTTCGTCTGAGGCGTGCGATTTCCTTCATATCGTATCTTGAAAACAAACCCACATGATTAGCTATAGGATAACTCCAAAAACAAACTTGACTTATAAAAAAACATCAACCTACTTGATATGAAACTGCATCCGGTGAACCCAACTCTTCCCCAACACGTTGCGCCATGGATATTGCCGCTACTCTCCGCGGTTCAGTTATGCCAATCAATTGACTATTGCTTGCATACCTTAAAAAGAAGAACGGAACTAAGCCACCCAGCGAACTGAGAAAGAATCAAAAGTTCTGAATACTCTTGAGATGACCTGGTTCTCGAAAAACTGCTCCCAGTAATCTCTTGAACGAACAAGAAATGGAATCATATATCGAAAAAACTGACCCTGCTTCATAAAGGAATTGAGGTATTTGTGTAGTTTTACCAGAGCCAGTCTCACCACATATAACAGTGACCTTAAATAACGGAAATGGTAGCGGAATTCTTTGTATGAATACGAATCTAATACCAAGCAAAACAGTATGCCTAAGCCGGAAAGCACACGCAAAAAGCGAAAAATAAACGGGCTGAAAACTTCAGCTCACAATATTGTCGTTGATGGTCTCCATAATGGGCACTTCTTCTGAATATATAGGCAACTGTGAGCGTTTGCGTTCAATTTCTGTATCTCGGGCGACAAGTACTCGTTGTCGTTGGATAGAAGCAGGCCGTGGTTGATGGGTTACATCATCGTCTGCCTCTGTTTTTATTTCCTGAACAGTGAAATATATTATCCAAAAAGACAGAACTCAAGGGACAGCATCGCTCAGTAACTAATATTTGGGAAAAAATTAAATATGTTCGCCTACCTGGGCGGAAACCGGAACAACTCCATTAGTAGCCGTGGAACATGTAACAGGTTTCTCTGTGCCAGAAGACAAAGATGGCTGCAAGAATAGCGGCAATATTACAGATAAGGACAACATAGTTGATAATTATAAGTTTTGGATATTAGCCAAATATTTTTTACCTGCGCCGAAGATGAATAGTCCTCCACAACGGATGCGGTGTTTTCTTTCTCTGTAGCACCTGTCTCGACCTTTACTTCAGCGTCGTCTACTGTCGAAGTTTCTAACGGAGCGGAGGATGAGGATGGCGTAGTATCGCAGACCTAATGTGTGCACATTTGCGTAAAACAATACATCAACACATTCCGATAGATGCAGTAGCTCGTTTTATGTTAGTGGCAAAGAGATCTAGAAAGGCAGACTGACTGACAAAGGTATTCCAGCCTACAAATAACTAGCAGACAGACTGACAAGGGTATTCCAGCCTACCAATAACAAGCTATCAGTAGCGAAGAAGAGATAGGATGCCATACGAGTGTACAAACTATGATGGCTTTTTAAGCTTAACCGTCCCGTCCAAAAATCGTACTTGTTTCCTTCGAATTAGCTGAACCTTTTCATAAACTTACTGCGACTTCATTCTCCTCACTTTCGCTTTCGTCAGACCTCCCCTCGTCAGTGATAGTAATTCTCTTGAACGCGTCCCTTTTGGTGTAATATGCGCCAAGATAAGCTACTTTCGATGAGCATACTTTTATTCGGGATGGAAAAGTGTCAATATCGTCATCATCACCGTTGTGAGCACTGGAATAACAAGTAATATTTCCTTAGACCATAAGCAAATGTAAAGACAAAAGCACAAAAGGCTTTTGATGCTGAACGTTCAAACGCATAATAAAAATCGTATCGGATGCCGGCCAAGTGTTGATTTGCTTTATAATAAATGCGTAGCCTGTTTTAAAATTCTAGACAAGTCAATTACCAATCAACAGACTTCGGAACACTGGAAGGGTTGGTTGGCTTGGAGGAAGCCTGTCAGCTTTAAACCCTACGACATAGTCTAGTAAAACATGACGAACGCTCTACATTTTGGTCCCTGCAGTATGACTAATGAAGATTAGTTGGCTAAAGTTTCTCGATCCAGCTGGTACTCTGCCAGGCTCGCAAACAGCTCTTCTTGCTTAAAAAGTGCGCATAATAAAGAATATCCCAGGCTTTAGTCCTACAATGCTCTTCATGTGACTTTGAGTAGCACCCATGGCGCGTGTTGATGGCAGAGGTCTTATTACGACCAAAGGAAAAATAAGCCAACCGCGTTAATTTGTTCGACTTTCGCTGTTGGATTGCAGCCAACTGTATTTTCTTTCTTCGTAATTTTCTGCTTCTCCCTCTCTTTGACGAAATTTTTGCCCTTTTTTCCGCCTGTGGCACTTTTCTTCTTCGGCAGAGGACCCTCATCCTGTAGTTTTCGCTTTTTGCCTGAAAAAAAAAAAACAAACTGCCACTTCTACATCTCTCTTACACTAAATGTTTGCAGACTGTAGTCACCCCTTACGCACCTATGTTTGGAAAGTTTAAACACAAAACGTTTGGACAAGTCCTTAGTTTCTCAACGTTCTCTAACGACATAAACCCTCACGAAGCAAATCATGAAGCTTTTTACTTATAATACTCCCGGAAGACCCTATTTTCAAGACGAAACATGGACCAAAGAGGCACATATTTTCCTGGGCAACATTCCGAATGAAGCCTACAATAAAAGTTTTAAACTAAACCTGGAAGAATCACTAATTGATTAGAATCATCAGCGTTGGGCAAAGGTGCAGTGGGATCGTAGAGAACCTGGTTGGTAATTGTCATTTCCTTTTATTGAAACTGAACCATTCGCCGTAATCCTACAACAAGAACAGCTTCGATTTCCCCAACGGATGCTTCCAAAAATGTCATAAAATACAGAACCAGAAAGTTGACCAGAAAGAGTTTTGCGACTTAATAGTTCAAAGCCTTGTGCCAGTAAATAAGGATAGCTTCCAAAAAAAGCCGTCAAATACGAAACAGTGATGCGCCTGCACACAACGCGCATTTTTGAGATACCATACTTTTGAACGCACCTACGAGCAGAGTCAACCCTGCGTTGCGCAGTTCTCAACGGCCACGTTGCGCAGTTTCGCCCGATTAGACACGTTCTCTCGCGCGAACATTCACACTCGCATGCTCGAGCCGTCTGCGTCTCCGCCCATACAGCGTGCGTTGAGGATCTCTCAACGTGCCGTTGCGAACTGCGCAACGCAGGGTTGACTCTGCTCACGAGGCCAAACCGACAGCGTCAAGAAGGAATTAGGAAATGCTTCTCATCTCCACACCCTGAACCCTGCTGGACCTTCCTATGATACCAGCGCTCCAACCCAGCGCCGGTCAGCCCCAATTTCTAGAGCATGATTAGTCTGTCTGCTAGCGCCGGCTGTTGCTACACAAACGTCACATCGAGATAGTGTTTCAAATTAAAAAATTGTGGTTGAATAGATATCGATATACAGGGTGCGCCAAAATTACGGAGACAACGCATGAGCAAACAATTTGAACTGATATTCACAGATGCTGTTTTCTTCTGTCCTAGTTTTGGTACTGTGGTGTAGAATTGTTTATGCTTACCTTGTTCAACCACCAAAATCTATGGTAGCTGCAGCGGTTGACTGATACTGACACCGTCCCTAAATCATTGGACTTCGACGTTGAGGGTTTTTGGCACGCGACAATTATCATCGTTTTGGTGTATACCCGAGCACTATCAATAGATGCTCCAAATGGTACAGGGGACAAGGAGCTGAATGCAGTCATTCTGGATGAGAAGGGCGTGTTTCTGTGGCGACCACGAACAATCTAAGGATTGTGTGCGATAGAATTTGCAGGTAGTTGACGCGCTGGTTTCACTGGATGTCACGAGAGATAGGAATCAGGGGGCTCTTTTGGACTTATCAGAGCCCATTGCTATCCTGAGTTTATTTTCACTTTGAAAATCGTTGCTGGGCCTTCCATCAAGTAGGAGCTCCCGTTTACGAGGCAAGGGTGGTTCAGTACTAGTGCAGCATTGATGCAGAACCGATTTTTTCGACTTTGTCGGCTTAAACGGTGGTAGAACAGCATTTCAGATCTGAGCTCGATAGGGTACGCTGTCGGATCCGTTCTAGAAGCTGAGGCTTGCATAAAACACATTATGTCTAGGGATTCGTTGAAGAAACCGCTCTAAAATGAGCTTGACGAGTCCTACTCGCCACATTGCGTGCCACAGTCGATGGTTCCTCGATGTTTCTGAGGACCCGTATAAACACAAACCAAGGAATTTCAAAAATTGCATGGATGTCGACGATTCAGAATGGGACTGTGCACGTCACTGCATTTTTGTTTTCAAAGAATTGCACCTTGCTCATCCTAGGCAACTCGAAGTCGCTGTCTCCGTAATTTTGGCGCACCCTGTAGTTCCTTGTTCCCTCTTATGTTGAATAATGTATAAGGAACAAAGAATTTAAAGCCTCACTAATGCAATACTTCTATGCCCTTGACCCTGTATTCTATTGAATGAACAAATTGTTCTACTTTGTGCGGTGAACATTTCTGAGTTTTCATGATGTGCCACACACACAAGATTCCCATCCGATGGTCGAGTGATTTTGTACTTCTATCTGGCTTACACAGTGAAATTTGGAACATTGTACATGATACATGCTCCCAGATGAACCTGATACCTCATTTGGTCCCTGGCAGGGCTTGTTTACCCACGGTTAGATTTCTCCTGGAATCGAGCCATGCGTGCAATAGAGTTGTGACGTTTACATGACGTCTTCAAGATGGACCTCGTTTACATAGATTGTTCCCACTATAGCGGTAGGCAATACCTTGCTAATTGACTCCTTTCATGCTATGTTGTGCATGTTCATGTTTAGCTATACTGTACTTGAACTGCATAAATTGCATATATATTCTGTGTACATATTCCATGTATTTTCCTCCATAAAACAACTCCACATGAAAACATCGCGACTGGGTTACTGTACTTGGCCTAACTGTGAAAGAAACAATTTGTGGGGAATGCTAGACTGGTGGACGTCACAGAAGACGTAGAGCATAAAATATTCTTCTGTGGCAGCCTCATAAGTGACTACAAGAATAATAAAAAACGCGAAACCCTTTGAGATACGCCGTGCATTCGATATTCGTTCAGAACCGGATAGAACTGGAATGGTGATCTGACCACTGCTCCAATCTTTTGTAGAGATCGCCTTCGTAGCAGGGTCACCCTATCGTTGTTACTTTTTGAAAAATTTTTACGACCCCCCTCCCCCAAGGTGGATTTGGTACGACCCCCTTTTCCACACCTCGACCACCATATTCCTCTCTATAGTATTTAATTCTGGTACCACTCAACCCACCAAACTCCGCCCACTTTTTCCTCCAAAAATGGGGATATCTACTGTGAAGCAGTAGAAATTTCCGAAAATCCCCTATATTTCCTCCATTTTACCCCTACTTTCCTCTTTTACCCAGTTTTACCTATAT